CCATGGGGAGGGTTTCATTAGATGTGTCCTAATCCCCCCTATCCATGGCTGTATTTTGTTAAGTCGTTAACCACTTTGAAATCACTCATATTTAGTAGTAAAGCTCTGGTTACCGTGATTTCTAATATGGCGTGCTGTGATTGGTTGTTATTGTGTAGTCCTGAAAAGGACTGTTTTAGTTGGTAGTGTACCGTTACAACTCCCCCCCCCCCGGATTAGTGACCGGGTGAGAATGTTGCACCTGGGATCTCAATCCGTAGAAATCCCCCATGCCTGGCAGCTGCCCTCTTTAGTGCTCGCCGGGCTGAGTTACGTGATAAATACTATAGTGGAGTGTCTTCGTCTACCATGGAGAGTTTAGTGTTCGGTTTGCCAAATTGTGCCATTTTACTAATGACATAGTCAAACGCTTGTGTCAACGTAGTGGTTTTAAAAGGAATGTATTTGTGCACCGTGCGTTCGGTGACCATTCTCCAGTCGAGTGGACTGTTCCACTGGTTATCCATGCTTTTCCTTGCTGCGTTCACTCCGGTAACCCATTGTATTATACGCAAGTGTTTTTCGTGGTTTTGTTGTCTTGTCCATTGGTTGGTTTCTGTTTTTACTGCAATTACTGAACTTAGTCCCATTAGATTTTCTTTGTTCTCTTCGGCTAAAATTCTTCTTTTTTCTGCAGCTTCCTTTCGAAGATTATCGTACTTGTTGACAGGTGCCATGTTTGCTGTTTTTAGTTCGGCTGATGAATTGAACAAATTCTCCTGCGTTTTTATGTGTTTTTCTTGACCCATTGCGCGTTGTGGTTGGTTCTTTTCCAGGAGATGCGCTTATTGGGTCATTCTTGTGTTGAATTAGTTTTCGACGTCTGATTCGTCCATGTAGTATGGACGAACTTCTGCCACATTGATTAGCTCTTCTTTTCCTGACTGCGGGTTAACGATTGCCAGTGTTGAGTTACTAATCACTTTAGTTATTGTAAACGGACCTTCAAACAAGTTGAACAGTTTTTTTATCTCATTATTTCCAGCGTTTGATAAGTGGTGGTTTTTAGACAGTATTTTTTGCCCCACTTGATATGTAATGAATTTTTTCTTTTCATTCTGTTTGGTTTCTCGTTTGTTAGCTTTTATTTTTATTTTGTCTGCTACAGTACATAATAGTTGTTGTTGGTCCCTTTCTTCTGGTTGAGCTGGGAAAGCGATCCAATTTTCAATAAAGTGTTTGGGACGTTCTCCTTTTAATATTTGAACTGGTGTTGCCTCTGTTACTTCTGACCTTAGTTGGTTCATCCAGAATTCGATCTTCTCCAGATAATTTGGCCATTTTGAATGTTGGTCGTGGCAATAGGTTCTTAGGAGTCTCCCGATTTCTCTATTGTATCTTTCTACTGGATTGGCTTGTGGGTGATATTTAGTAGTAAATATACATTTTATGTCCTTTTCTTTCAGTGTGTTGTACCAGCTTTTTGATGTAAATTGTGTACCATTATCTGATATTATTGATTCGGGTTTGCCGGTAGTTGGTATATAATCGTTAATTAGTCTGTTAGTAATTGATTTGGTTGTGGCTCGTTTTAATGCGTATAGTCTTATGTACTTTGAAAATACGTCTAATATTGCTAGAATATAGTGGGTGCCGCCTCTTCCCGTCGGGAGTGGTCCCATCATGTCGATTGATACTTTTTCCAACGGTTTTGTTGGTTTGTGGGAACTTGATTTCCCACTGGCGTTGTAATTAATTGGTTTATTTTTTTGGCAACTGTCACAATTTTTTATTACTTCTGATATTAGCTTCTGCATGTTTTGGAATGTACATATGTCCCTTAGCGCGTGATATGATTTGAATCTTCCTGGGTGTCCCATGTTTACGTGTGTTTCTTTTATCAAGTTTTTTGCTAAGTGGTTCGGAATGACTATTTTCCATCTGTCATCTTTTTTATGTCTTACGAATGTTATTCCATTCTTTTTGGTCACATGCTCGTTTTCCTTCATTTTTTCCACGTGTTTGTCCTTTTTTTGTTCTTGTGCGATGTTTTTAATTTTTTCAATTAGTTGTTTGTTAACCAACAATGATGACATTTTATTCAACTTAATTTTTTCTTCCGTTCTCTCTTCTCCTGTTCTTGGGTATCTTGTTAGTGTATCCGCCGCGATATTATCCTTGCCCGGTATGTATTCGACTGTGAAATTAAATTCTTGCAAAGCTAAGGTCCATCTGGTTAATCTTCCGCTTGTTAATTTACATTGTTTTATGAATGTCAGGGCATGGTGGTCGGTCTGAATGATCGTTTTATTCCCTATTAAGTAAGGTCTAAATTTTGTGCAACAATATAATATTGCTAATGCTTCTAACTCTGTCGTTGTATATCGTGTTTCTGCGGGTTGTAGTGTTCTGCTCGCAAATCCGATCGTTTGTCTTTCGTTATTTACCATTTGGAAAAGTTCCCCACCTATAGCTGAAGTTGACGCGTCTGCATTAATGTAGAATGGTAACGAAAAGTCTGGAAATGTTGTGGTCACTTCGTTCAAAAATGCCGTTTTGGATTCCTCAAAAGCTTTAATGTGTCTGTTCTCCCATTTCCATGTGTTGTCTTTTTTTATTAATTCAATAAGCGGTTCGATTATCTTTGCAAACTTGCTGATGTATCTCCTATAAAAGTTCAAGAACCCTAGGTAACGCTGTACTTCCTTCTTTTTTTTTGGTTCTCTAAATTTCTGAATCGTTTCTATTTTCTCCGGATCCATTTTTAGTCCTTCCGTTGTGATTATGTGTCCTAAGAAGGACACTTGTTGTTTAAAAAATTGGCATTTCTCCAGGTTGATTGTAACGTTGAATTCACGGAATCTTTCTAATACGATTTTTATGTGTTCATTATGACTTTCTATACTATCCGACGTTATAATAATGTCATCCACATAGATTGTTACGAAGTCCTTAGTATATGGACTAAGTACCATATCCATACATTTTTGGAATTCTGCCCCACTGACATTAAGTCCAAACGGTAGTCTTTTGAAGGAGTAATTTTTTCCATTAATCAAAAATGAGCATGGGGCTTTACTTTTTTCGTCCAGTTCCACTTGCCAATACCCGGACCTCAAGTCGATAGAGCTGATACATTTCACCCGTTTAAACTTTGCCAAAATTGTGTCAATAGGTGTAGGTCTTTCGCAGTCCGGGATTATAATCTTGTTGATTTTACGGGCATCAATGCATAATCTCACGTCTCCATTTTTTTTGAATACCGGGACGATTGGGATTGAATATGGTGAGTTTGACCGTTCGATTATTCCGAATTTTACCATTCTCTCCACTTCTTTTTCCACTGCCTCGATTTTTTTTATTGGTATTTGATATGGTTTTATGCAGATTGGTGTGTTGTGTTTCAAACGTAGATTACATTTGTAGTTGCGTATTTTTCCTGGGTGGTCTGCGAATACTTCAGGAAATTGTTCTAAAATTTCTTCCATGTATTTCTGTTCTTCTGTGGTTCTCATTGTTATTTTTCTCGGTATTATAGGCTCTTTTACTACTTTTGTGTGTATCATTTGTAGTTTTGTGGTGGATTTTTCCCCCTGGTTCATGAACGGTGTATCCCATATGACCATTTCTGATCTCAATGTTAATATTTGGTTGTTGAAATCTAGTGTAGCCTTGAGTTGATCTAGTAGGTCATTGCCAATAATACCGCCTTCATTGAGTTGTGGTATGATAAT